CCCATGATAAGGTATGCAACCTGAAGATGTTGGAATGAGCTGCAGTTTCATAGTATAGCCCTTCTGTCCATCCTTCTCTCACCTCTAAACAAAAAAAATTCATAAAGAACAGTCAGTGGAAATGCCTATTTAAAATAAGAACATTAAGGTCTGTAAATAGCAAGATTAGCCCTACAAAATGTGTACACCACTGTCTGTGGTGTTTGATATAGAGTTATGGAAACAATGCATTTGAAACTGTAAAAATTATTCAGGTTAGAAAGCGTGGCCTGCAATGTCACAGTAGGTAACCAAGGAGGTATGTTGCATGAAATATTACATACCTCATTTTGCTATTGTGATACTTAGATGGCATTTCCTTTTCTTTTTTTCTCAATTTTTGTTCTGTTTCTGATATTATGATGCCACATCATCTGACAGGACTCCTCAGTCTAAAGGCAAGAACTTTTCCCTCAAAAAGAGCCAAGGAAATGGTTTCACTGAAAAGAGGCTAGAGCCATAATAGCAGATTTCTGGAAATCTAGGAGGGCCCTGAGGGACAGCTGAGGATATCAGTATCCTTTATGGATTTCTGTGCAGGCAGTATTCTCTACTAGACAGTGCAATCCAGTGAATATAGATGTGGCATTAAGAGCCTGTGGCCCAAAGTTGTTCTGTTAGCTTTATGTTTCTCTTTCATTGTTTGTTTCTGCAACCCATTTGCCCTTGGGCAGGAAAGATTGTCAAAAATAGTTCAAATGTCACAAGCTTATTACCAATGTTATCCAATTATTTATGTAGAAGTTTTCATAATCCATTATTTTTCCTGCAGAACCTCATTGTATTTACATGGCAAGAAACTGAACTTGCCTGGTGAGTGCCATTTTAAATCAGTTTATTTTAAATGACAGAAGCTTGCAGACATACGAATCTTGGCTTAATAGCTTACTTGCATTCTTGATAAATGAATTCCTGACTGTTTAAGCCAAAGAAAACCAAGCCATTTAAAAATCTAAAAAGTAAATTAAAAAAGTAAATTAAAATCTAAAAGTTTAAAAGTAATTAGGGCTACATTGATAATGTTTCTATCAAACAGCCTTGGGATAATCAGAATGGTTCTCCCATTTCCTGTGCCAGTGATGGGTTCCTGGCTTACACACTTATATAGCTGTGTACTAGCATAACTGACTGAAAAGTCAGGTTCCCTGTTTTCTGAAAACATCTTGATTGCTTTCATGTGTCTTGTCACCATTTTGTTTCTGGTGCTTATATTATTTTTGGATTTCATAATGCTGAGTCTTGTGTCACTGTAAGGAAATTACAACAGTTGTTTCTCACAAAAGCCCACCTCATACTCCACTATAACAGCTTTTTTTTCCTTTAAGAAATTGAACCTAAATATGTCTCTAAGTGATAGACTAAGTTTCGTATCTATACTGATATACAGTATGTAGTTTAAGCCTGGAGAATATTCACTAGGATTTTTGCTGCAGAGGCATTGCTTGCTTTTAAGTCACCAGATATGGCTGCTGTCACAGGTGGGTTTTTTTTGTTTGGCTTGCTAATTGAGCAAAAGCTAAATTTTTCAGAATAAACAAGTAGGAAAGAAAATACACAGAATCCATAGGGAGAGGAAATGGCCTGAAGTTGCTCCAGGGAAAGCTTAGATTAGATATTAAGAAAAATTTCTTCACTGAAAGGGTTATTGGGTGTTGGAACAGGCTGTGCAGGGAAATGGTTGAATCGCCATCCCTCGGTGTATTTAAAAGACGAGAGGTAGATGAGGACCTTAGAGACATGGTTTAGTAGTGGACAGGTGATGGTTGGACTTTATGATCTTAAAGGTCTTTTCCCCAACCAGCTGATCCTATGATTCTCTCCTTTTCTCCTGTTCTTAGTCCAGGTCCCTCCAAACCTCCTTTTTACAAGCTTCCCCATTAGTTCTTTGTTACACTTCTTGATGGAGGTACTCTTCTACATTTCCTACTCTTTTTTCTCCTCCAAAAGCAGGTCAGCTTCATATGCACATATGTTAACTCACATGTACTTGCAGAGATGCAGAGTGCTACGGCTAAGTCCGTTCTACCTCACCCAGCGTCTGCAGCACAACCTAGCAACGTGTCATGGGAGAAGTGAAACCCTACTTGCTCTACCAGCAATTTTCATCTGGTTTTGCTCATTACTGATATAATCCAAGATAAATGCTAAGAACTGGTTATTGATACTTTGAGGCTGCAGGCCAGGCACATTGATTGAGCACTGGAAAATAAACAAACTAGCTCCTAGAAACTGGGGCAATGGTTTGGAAGGAAATTAATGCCCTGGCTGTGTCCTGTTATTGGAACAAAGAGAGATACGAGAGGAAAATAGGTTTTATTTTTCAGTAACACAGGCAAGAACTGGCTGCATTTTACAGTGTTTTTTAAGTTAGCCTCCAAGATAGCATGCAAGTCCCGGAAGATTTGTTACCTAGTTTGAAACAATTAGTGTGTTTTTCATCTGTCATGTTTTATGAAGAAAGTGTGATCTGAGCACAAAGATCCCCCTATTCTCTTCTCCAAGGCATGAAATAACTTCATAAAACCTTTTTTTGGAAGAACTCTCCTAGGAAATATTTTCATTTGAAACACAAATAAATATAAAGCACAATGAGATTAGTCCTATTGAGACTGTAGAAAAGATTCAGAGATCTGATGTAGGGTGCAAATGAGTAGCTGAATAAATCTAAATTGATACAGTTTTGGTAGGTAAAGTTTGAATAGTCAAAGATGTCCCTTTATGACAAAAAAAAGAACACTTAGGACAAAAGAAGAGTGAATAAGTTTGACCTGTGAATAAAAATATGCTCCACCCCATTGCTTAAAACTAAATCAAGACTGTAACAATTAAATAAGCTGAGGGTACAACAAACAATTTTGGTGCAGTTGCTATAGCTAATACTGGAAACTCCACATTCCCAAGCAGAAGCTCCCCCACCACAGGCCTGTGCAATTACAAAGCCTGCTCATGGCAGTGTGTCACACACCACCACAAAAAGCAAGGGGAGAATTAGTAATGGTAAAGCTACAGATGACAAAGCCGAACAAGTTTACAAGTGTCACTGAAACAGATCTGTCCTTTGATTGCACAAAGGCTACTGGTTCAATGGCTTTTGAGACCATCAGTTACTGTTGTGATGCTTTGAAATGAAGGGTGTTCTTCAGGATCCAATGGGTAATTACATACCTGGTATGGAACAAATTATTGCAGTTTAAGAATAAAGAACTTGATCCTGCTCCAAATTATGTCAACAGGAAAACATCACTTACAATGTGATTCCACAATGTGGAAATGTTGTTTCACAAACAAGGACTGACCTCACCCTTTCATGTATGGTTTTCTGAAGATTCTTGGATTTAGGACTATAATATGTCTCTAGTTTATTACAAATGCTCACCAGAATGCATTTATTAAAAGTCTGGTGAATGATGTCCACCCAAGGTCAGTATTTATTGTATTTTTTATTCCAAGAGATGCTACCATTTTTAATAGATTGTGCCTGTTTCCAGAGATTGAACTTAGAAAGTAGGAAACAACATTTGTCCTGTTAAAACTTAAGGCTGAGAGCAGCTCTAGAGAAACAAAACAAAACAAAACAAAACTAAACAAAGGCCAGTTTTAGGCACTATATACTGAGCAGTTGTGCATGCTGCTCAGGGGGACTCAAGTCCATACCTGTAACAGTTTACAAGACAAATAACTGCTTTTACCAGGATTGGTAGCACTGAATAGAAAATGGTTTTGAAAGTTGCTCCATCCCAGCCAGCAAAACTCACACATGCCTCAGAGGTTGAAGTGTTGTTACATCCCAGGCTGTTTTATAAGCAGATGGGTAAATAATGCTACATAGCAAAGCAATCTAGCAAAATCTGATATAATGACCATACTGAAGGTGTTACCAAGCTTGTTAAAAAAGGCATGTTAAATAATGGATGAACAACTTTTAACACTTCTTTTGTATCTGCATAAAACTGTCAGTCACCATTTAACGTCAAATATGTAACTGAGGTGTTTACAGTTGTTCCAGAATATTAAACTGTTAGAAGTGACAGTCATCTGTCTCCAGTTACTAGCTCAGACCTCATCACAGAGGAATTGTTTTGAAAAGCTCCTCCCAAATTATGGTCATAACCCAAATGGTCAGACAGATGGTTTGCAGGAGTTAGGCAAAGAAAACTGACAGCAGTATTTTCATAAAATAAACCTCATTGTGTCTTCTGTAGTTCAAAGACATCTGTATCAACCTTGGGAGTAGGGCAGCTTGTATTTTCTTTACATTTTACTCTGTCATCTCATAAGTGACTTGTATTTTCCATGGCAGAATTAATGTGTAGTCAAATAAAATATCTTGGACAACTATTCTTTCACAAACCAAGATTAACACCGTGAATAATTCTTTGCATTTTCAGCCTGCTGTTTTATGATATCATGGCCTTGTGTAATTTCTGAATAATCCTATTTTATGCAGTAGTTTCATCTCATTTCTATTGTTTTTTGTTTTGTTTTGGTTTGGTTTTGCCAGGGTCATTTCTCTTGGCCATCACTCTGCATTACTCTTTCAAATTTATTTTTCCATGGGTAAAATCTCCTGACTGTAGGGATAAGATAGTTAAGGACATTTGAGCTGTTCATATTGGGTTTTTTTGGGGGGTGGAGTAAACCACAACAGCCTGTGAGTCATGTTTTCTCATACACTAAAAAATACACACTCTACTAATAAAATGGAAACTGCATACAGAAATGCATAATTTGCCCATAAAAGTGCTAAAAAAATTTCTATTGAAAGAAAACATACATCTAAGCTCCACTGGATTTAAAATTTCAGTCACTGGCAATATAAATATATGCCAAAACAAAGTGGATTTATAATTTCTGTTCTGTAGATGTCAAAATTATTAGTGCCTTTGGAAAAAATTAAAATTTCAGACTCTTAAGAGTGTCAGCTTTTGTTAGATACCTGAAATTTTCTTCATATGTTGCAGGTTGTCTTTGTCAGCTGGTGTAAGAGCTTCTGGGACTGTGGACTTGTGGCACTGGATGATGTATCATTGAGCCTGGGAAGCTGCCAGGCTGCTGGTAAGACCATGTATATTTGTGATCCAACAACTGCTACACTTTTTAGTGAGAGTTCATTGCATACCTTCATTTTCCAAGCCTATCCTACAGCTGCCTTCATCCCACTGTGGTTTCTTTTCTTGTTACAGCAAGTATTGTATAAATCCTGTTTTTGCAGTAGCATACGTATAGCAAGGACCAGTTTTTGTTCACAAGGGTACCAGCTAACTCGTAATTAACTTCACTGACTCTGGTGCAATTGTGTATAGGTGCATGTTCTGTTTAGGGCGTTACAATTTTTCTTAAAAAAACAACAGTCCAACTGAGGGGGAAAGTAGTGTTCAAATGCCTTTTAGGAAACTAGGAATGGACCTAAAAGCAAGATTTTCACAAGAACCATTATTCTTTTCAATCCAGAATTAACAGTTGTGCAGGGCCAAGATACCGTCTCTTATCTGAGCTGCAGTTCGCTAATGAAGACAGATGGGTCTAACTCTCCCTCCTGTAGCGGGAGGAACTGAATGTTTTCGAGTGAGACGTTACCCTCTGACATGCCCAGGCTAACCTCTCTGAACTCGACCTAAGCTCCCTCTTCTGGGGCTTTTTGAGGTTTGACAATGCAACGATTATATTCTAATTTGGAAACTGTTATCATGAGACAGGCACAATCTATAATCCCATTCTTTTTTGGAATAAAGCAATGCCTTTGAAATGGTGATGGGGCTGATCTACTATGCCATTTATATTCCCATGTAATAAGAATTTTTAATGACCTCTTGTGATTGGATTTCATGCATTCAGGCAGCTGTAACTATTACAGAACAGGGAAACCACATCTGTAAAACAAGATGCCATTTCTCTAAAGTACTTCCGACAGTTGTCTGTTTTGCTTTTCTGTAGTTCCTAAGTAATTTGAAAAGAAACAAAAGGTGCAGAATGGCTACTTGGGTGTATAGGCACATGGGGACTTGTCACTGATGGCAGAAAAAAATGCCTAAAAAAATCCCCCAGAGTATGTGAGGCATCCAGGCTTCCTCCTTTTGAAAAGGCAAAAGCAGCTCAGCGTCTACTCTTGAACTACAAATTCAGATTATAGCAGAAGAGTGGACAGAAGCTTCCTCATGAGCACATCTACTTTCTGTCTTCTGCATAATCTAATAGAACTGCAACAATGAAAATACTCTAGTAATTGCAGCTCTGTGGTCTGTTGTATGTGGTATTAGGATCTGGTGCCAAGGGAACAAAACATAGCTGAATGTGGTGTTTGATTTCAGATCACAGAAACTCCAATCTTTGCAAAGACTCATTTAATATGTATGTTATACACAGTCATTAATGCTCATCATATACATGCTCATTAAACTGCTGGGGTGCCACAGTAGTGAAGAAAATGACACTGGTAGATCCCATTGCTGAGTAAGAGCTATGATGAGATAGTGAACTGTATGAGAAGTTTCAAGGACTATTAGTGCATGTCAGTGAGACAGACTAGGGCACAGATTTCACCAAAGCTGTGAAAAAAGTGAAATTAAATTTCATACATCAGTTTGAAGGTAGAATTTATAAGGTTGTGACTAGTCTAAGTATTGGTAGGTAGATGCAAGTTATTTCAGAACGTGAGTGAATGCAATACATTGCTTGTGTAATCTCTCTATATATCTGTCTGGTATATTTGCAGTTTTAAACAATGTCCTCTCCTTACAGATCTGTTGCTGCCCAATCCTGGAGAGTGTACTTTTGAAAAAGATGAGTGTATTTTTACCCAGAAGAAGAGAGGTCGTGGGAGTTGGCACAGGAGGAGGGGTCCAACTCCCACTTCATACACCGGACCGAAAGGAGACCACACTACTGGGGTAGGTGAGTTAAGCTCCACATTGACTTTTAGAACAGAGATTGATAGCTTATCAAAAATACTTTGAAATTATAACCTAGAGCACAGCAAAAGTTTTTACTGTTCTGTTCAGAAGAGTTACTAATCATATGAAGTAAACATGTTTCTTAGGGACCCACAGATGGTTTTAGGAATGTGATGTTTAATTTGAATTATCTGTAGACCAACTGGGTAATTTGGCCTTCGTGTCCTAAAGTGACCCTTTTCTTCGGGAGGAAAAAAGATAGGATGACTCTCTAGACCCCACAAAAAAAATCCCTTCTTCCAAGCCACTAGCTTATGTATTCACATTCCTTGAAACTAAAAGGCAAAAAAGTGGTTAGGGGCTCTTCTTCATCAACACCCTCCTTTTCAAACATAGAAGAAAACATGGATAATAAAAGAGGTCCCACAGACCCTTTGTCTTGAAAATCTGTTCTATAACCTCACCTGTGTAATTTAAAGCATTTAAGCAAGTAGGCCCCCCATTAGCATGAGTGAGCACGCAAAAGCTGCATGAGAATTGCCCCCACATCAGGCGCAGTACCTCTTGACTTTTGAAAGTTATCAACCCCACTGACTTCGCAGAATGGTTTGGATTGGAAGGGACCTTAAAGATCATCCAGTCCAACCCCTCTCTCATGGGCAGGGACACCTCCCATCAGACCAGGTTGCCCAAAGCCCCATCCTTGAACACTTCCAGGGAGGGGGCATCCACAGCTTCTCTGGACAACCTGTGCCAGTGTCTCACCACCCTCCCAGTAACGAATTTCTTCCCAATATCTAATCCAAATCTACCCTCTTCCAGTTTAGAGCTGTTACTCTTTGTCCTATCACTACATTCCCTGATAAAGAGTCTCTCCCCATCTTTCCTGGGGGCCTCCTTTAAGTACTGGAAGACTGCTATAAGACTTAAGTATAATGGATGAAACTGCCCTAAGGCTTGTGAACTTTAAATGCTTACATAGGTTTAAAAAGGCTTTTGTGGCCTTTGGATTTGCCCTCCTTCACAGTGGTTAGCATTCATTCAACAAGTTGTAAAGTGAGTTGCAGGCTTATTCAGAGTAGCCAACTATCCAGTCTGTTAAAAACCTTCGCTGGATTACAAAAGCAGTTGGCCTGCTCAAAAGGTTCACCAAAAGCTATTATTATTCTGTCAACTGTGATTGAGTATAAACCACATGAAGCATTATCAAGCATAGTTATTTCAGCAGTACATATGAAGTCTCGTACTCTGCAAGCTAAATTCAAGTTAATCTGGAAAACTGTTTTGTTTCTAGTTAACAAAATAACAAATGCATCTAGTTAATAATATAACAAATGTCTTGTTTCTGATCTCTTTATCTAAAAAGATGGTTTTGTGCATGTTGAGCAAAATCTTCCTTTCCTATCTGCTGGTAAAATTTCTGTAATAGCTGCATCCCAAGCAAAGTATGGAAATTGCTTAGAAATACATACATCCATGGTGTGTGGGACTGTATGGCCAAAATCCTACATATGGAATTAAGAATAGATGGGAATGTTTCTCTTTGGCTTGAAATTTCTGATCACCAAGAAATTATGTTCTTCTGTTGTTAATTCTAAGCAGTAATGATTCTGGGTAGAAATATGAAAAGCTTTCAGAAATAAATAAGTCTTAAAACTTCTCTTATGTGTTATGAAATAAATATGAGAAACATTACTTACAAATCTGACCATATTCTGACCAGATCTATTGGCTAAGTTACTGAAGTGGAAAATTTAGGCTATCTATCTAAAAATCAAGAACATTTCCCCAGTAATGATACCTTTGTACTGTGGAATTACTTTCAAACAGAAATACTGAAATTCTTGTCCCTTTTCCATTTACAAATTAGATGACATTAGAGTGAATTACATGACATATTGACATACTGTCTGTAAGTCTTTGCTACCCATAGTGTCCAGTTCTTCTGCATCAACTAGACATGTGATCATGAGCTTTAAAATAAGTAAGAATTTTTCCTAACAGTTTTTAAGGTTCATTTGAGAATTTTTATTTTGAAATGTGGGTGAGAGTTTTGGAAAGGCATCTGTAGGCCATCTCTGTATGGTCTGGCAGATCCTTGTTCTTCCACAAAATATAATCCAGAACATCACATTAAAGCTGCTGGTTGTTTTGGTAGGTAGCCAAACTCAGATCTGTAAAAGGATTTAACATTCAGGTTTGTTTGATGCTTTTTTTCCCCCTGGTTATTCCCTAGATAATATATTTTATTCTTCCTCTTCCAAATACTCTATATCCCAGATCTTGTGTTTCCAAGGACAATAACCCTCTTCTTATAGTAGGAGCAACACTTAAAGAAAATTAATGGGCTGTTAGCACGGAAACTGATTTTAGACCTATTTTCAGTTTATGTAGATTACTAAGTATTCTGATATCTGAGACTGATAGCTTGACTTTATAGTTGGTGAAGCAAGAGAACTTTTAAGCATAGTGAACATCAAAATGCTCACAATGGCTTGCACTAGTTTAGGTAGAAATGGCCTTGGGAATTTTCCAATACACTACAAAATTATCTTTTCTTTACAGACCTACAGCTGTAGATAATCTTCCTTTTCGCCCTCTCTTTCTACTCCTGCTCACCACCAAACTACAACCCAGGATGCCTTCAGCATGTGTTTGTGTAGATAACAGTATCCTGAGTATTGTGAGACACCTCGAGCATTCACTGGCTGCTCTGGCTGCTTTCAGCTTTTCTCCTGCCTCACTCATCCTTAGGAATCCCCTCTTCTCCTGAGGGCAATCTCACTGCTAGGACTTGTGGCAGAGGGACAGGTTGTCTTCTTCAACACCACAAAAAGGGAGCAGTGGGACTGCATGTAGAGCTGCTGCAAAATCTGAGTTTCCTGCCTGCTGGCAGAGTGTACATCTCAAGACACAGAACAGCTGCCATATGTAGCAGTTGGGACATGAAGGTGCTTCTCAGTCTTCTGGCCCACCTCAGTTTGCTCCAATTGGAAATAACTGAACTAAAGGAACTGACTGGGGGGGAAGGTAGAGGATTAATTTGCCTGTCACCATTTAATGACTCATTTTTCCACAGATCATGACAATCTTTCATTCATTTATGGATTCTAGAGTCCAGTTTGCCTCACTTGATCACAGAAAGAAAAATGTTATTGATGTCGTATGTGATTTAAAAGAGGTATTACAATTAATTTGCTTTGATAATAGCATCAGATCCAAACATTGCCTAAACTGTACCCTTAGATGTACATTCAGCTGTCTCTGAATTCCAATTAACTGACCACTGTCAGAGTGCATTTTTTGTTTAAGAACAGCTATGATTTTTTCTTACTTTGTATTCCTTTCTGTTGCTATGTATCGCATCAGACATGAACATGTTTTTAAGTGTTCTTAGATTAGCATTCACAAATATTACCGTTAATACACTACAAAATTATTACAGTATCACAAATATCAGAGTTCACAATTATAAATCTATGGCATAAAATCCTTTATCAAAATAGTTTCAATCATAGTTTTTTTATAATAAGCATGTTCAGTGTAATGAACATGCTGAAAGAATTTATTCCACTTTGCTAATATTTGTTTGTGCATCTTTTTAAGGATACTACATGTATATAGAAGCATCCGACATGGTCTATGGACAGAGAGCATACCTAGTTTCAAGATCACTAAGGGGAACCTCTGGAAAACAGTGTTTGACATTTTTCTATCACATGTATGGAGCTGGGACTGGATTACTAAGTGTTTATCTAAAAAAGGAAGGTGATGATGAAGAGATTCCTTTGTGGAGGAGGACAGGGGAACAAAGCATCTCATGGCTAAGGGGATTGATAGAATATGAAAGTGATAGAAACTACCAGGTAAGAAAAACAACAAAAAGCAGTCAAAATGGAATGTTGAACTGAACTATATGCTAGAATCCAAGTGTGTGTATAAATATATAAAGTTAAAATGTAGATAGTACTGATTTTACACCTAAAGAAGAAGTTCATGTGTAATTTCTTACAAATTAAGGTATTAAAGACATGAATAGATTGCAAGTATGAAAATAGTTCATTAATTTATTAATTAAAAATTATTTTTTAAAAGTATTTAAATGCTGTTTTCCCATCATTTCTTGTCAGTAGTAGTAGTTTTTATTTAGATCACTTGTGCAATTTCTTTTCCTTCAGCTGTCTAAAACCCTGTCTGAATTTGACATAACCACTAAGCTGGGATAAAATGGCTGCTTCTTGCAGGATAGTCTTTCTGAGGTAGCACCAAAGACAAGGGATGATACACAGCCAGAGCTCTGCCTTTGATTTCAACAGTGCCACCCTTTCAGTATTGCCAGTGATAAAGCCTGCTTCAGTTTCTCTGTCAAAGAGGAAGTTAAAATTGCTATTGACTGAAACAACACTGGACATAAAACTGCATTGATCACTAACCAAGGATGTCACGTGGGTTTTTTAAATCACTTTGCCTTAAGACCCTGGAAATTACTTAGGAGAAAAACAAAAAAAAACAAAAAACCTTTTACTGAAAAGTAAGTTTAGCTTCATCAGTAAGACTACAATAAAATACTGTAACGCTTTTTTTTCTCCCCCTCAAGTTGTGCTTGCATATGGGCAACACATTTGAGCAGAAAAGCAAGGTAGAAATGCTGCATCATGAGAGGAAATTCATAATTGGTCTATAACACACAGCAATTTCTTAAATAGTGAGAACAAATTTGCTTCCTTTGGCATAGCACACATCCATCTCTGACCAGGCCCATCAGTACACTGATGAAGCACAGAAGTTTCTTTCCAAGAAGCAGGCTTTCAGGACGCACTACATCCTTGGATAGTCTGCAAGGGTATTATTTTTAAGTCCTTCCTCCCGTGGGATTCATGGAAAGCTGTGTCTTACTTTTACAGATTATTTTTGAAGCAATCCGTGGTGTGTCAATGAGAAGTGACACTGCTATTGATGATATTCTGTTCCAGGCAGGACCCTGTTTAGGTAAGTTTAAGCATACTTTGTTTCTCTTAAGAGGCACTTAGCAATTTACAGTGCTTTTTGTAATTAGACAGGTGATACTTCTTCCCTTGAATCCCCACTGAATGGTGCTGGGTTACTGCTGAATTTTTGCTTTAGAAGAGGTGAGACCATCCTCAGAATCTGGACTATTAAAGATGCTGTAACACTTTTGAAAAACTGTATGGCAGTCCCATTTAAATCCAGCATGGTAATTACATTATGTCTTATGCATTCTTATGTATGATAAAAGTACAAATAACTACAGTAATTCCCCCTTCTTTGTATTCTAGAAGTGGAAGAAATTCAATTCTCATCAGGCTATCCTGACAGTTTAAACGAAATTGAGTATTAAATAGTCTGCTGAAAGGAATGAAGTGCATAGAAGATTTGAATGTGAGAAACTGCACAAACTGCCTATTTTAAAACGTGTTTTAGGTAAATACTGGACTGGTTTGAATATGTACCAACGTATAGGAAGAACTCAGAGCACTCATGTTCCTCGCCTTTGCAATGAAATTATTGACTCAGGGCTTCTTAGACTGTTTTTTAATTATTTTTTTTTCTCTTTTGCATGAGGTATTAGTTATTACATAAAGGCTTCCCATTTTGCACAGATCATTCATTTTAATGCTGTTTTTTTTTTCTTTTTAACCTTTCTGGTATATAGGTAAAAAGAGGAAAGTAAAGGTACACAATTTAAATCCAGTATTGTGTTATCTTAAATCTGCATTCAGTGAATGTTTTGTGTTGGGTACCAAACGGATTTTTGTTAAGGAAATTATAACTATTTTGAAATAATAAAGAAAATAGCATTAGCTACGAGCAATAGCCTACAGGTTAAGTGCAATTATTCATTATGACAAATCTCTCTGGGAAACTCTTAACACACTGCTGGCAATTTTTTGTGGTTTTGTATTCTTTTGCTATAACAAATGTATCTGTCATCCTTGCCATTAACAAACTCACGTTCAGTGCTCCAGTATAATTCAGTGTAAGCTGCTGACATTTTGAACTATATGAAATGAAAGTTTTTGAAGCCATGTTTTCTGGCACGCAAGTCTTGGGGGATTTTTTAAATTAAATCAGTTTGCACACTCACAGAGAATGTACTTACACTTTACCCAACCATGGATGCCTTACATTTATATTAATAGGAAACTGAATTCACACGACTTGTTAAGATTTTACGTGTTTGTGTGTAAGGTTTTGTTTTGAAATTATTATAACCTCCTAATAAAATGTAACTTTGAAAATCACCTTATTGTTCTGCTCTAGAGTTTATAGTCATCGGTGTAATGAGAAACAAGTGAACGCAATATAAAAGCCTGAATTAGGTATCTTGAATACAAAGAAAATGAAATGTGTGGGTCATATCACCTAAGACAGCTGATACAAAGCAATCTGATATGCTGCAAGAAGTTCCAGTATTAAGCCAGAGAAATTACTCTTACAGCCACCACATTCATGCTGTTACTGTAAGATGTGAGCCCTGAAAAGTGGAAATAGCCTTTGCTCCTTTCAGAACAAAGTACACATTTTTCCTATGAGCCTATAAGGATCAACAGCACCTGGGACAATCTAGCCGTTTGTATCTTTAGTAAGTCTTCATTTTGGTGACACAATTGAAGAGTTTGTTCAGTTAAATACATTCAGTACTAACGTGTTTATTTGACTACACAGATTGAAGCAGTTTATTATTTCCTAGAGACCAAAGGAATTGACATCTTAACTGCCTATTCTAGCTACCCACAGTCCCTGCCGGCAGCTGGTTATGAACGCATCACTTTTGCTGTTATTCTGAAAATGAAAGCAACCAGAAACAGTAGACTGTTTCCTGAGTCAATACAGTTTTACAGTTGTTCTGTAAAACTTATGCTTTGGTATCAACATACAGACAGAAAAATGTAAGCAGAAAACACATGAAAATAAGTGGTTAAAACCAGACTTGGCAGTTCTCCATACTTCTGATAGGACTTCTTTGTAAATGAAATGAAGCACAAAGTATAACTATGGGATTCCTATCTCTAACAATTTATGCAACTCTGCTTTATTCCATGGAAGTAATCTGATTTAGACTGATGTGAACAAGAACATAAGCGAAGTACTCTAATCTGCTCCATTCGGTGTTCTCTAGGGACTTCACTAGTATGATGATTTTGTCACTGAGGGTAGTATTTATCCATAGGGTGTGAAGCACTGTCCCTGACTGTGAAAAAAAAAAGCCGATGTTCTTCCTTCAGTAGGTAACAACAGCACCTTTCCATCTGCCTCTGCTGCAGGAATTAGAGAACGGAGGGAAAATTTGAAAAGTCCCTTTAAATTACTTTAGTTC